TAATAATAATTTGTAAAAGTTTGTTCTTCCATTCAAATCTAAAGATTCACCTGGGCAAAGGTCGCTCCTGGATCCTGTCTGTTTAGGCTGTGAGGGATGGGATCATTACGCAGCTCCTGAGATTAAATAAAGATGATCATTAATTAGTACAGGTACRTAAACCAAACCAGTGCCCTGTTCTCTCACCTCCTGAGTGGGTCTGGGTGGGACCACTGGGGCTGCAGAGCCTTTATCTCTTCTAAACATGTTCATTCTGTCACACAGGAAACAAACCAGAAAAACCTGATGAAAAAAGTCCAAAGCTACATGTCTAGGGCTGTTTTTCCGGTTTTTAAACATGACAGCTGCACACACCAGATTCTGTTGAAATACGTAGGAATTTGAAGCGYCGTTCGATCGCTTTGAACTTCCAAACAAAACTACAAAATCTGACTGGACAAACTATTGTGCAGTATTGTTTGGTKATTAATTTAAGCCGAATTGAAAWCCATGYCAACCTGAGAGGAAACAATTCATAYTGTAACTTTCTGTCGMGCACAAGTTTAGAAAACCACAACCAACCTTACATTAGGAGATATTTTTAGCGCAGTTCTGAGCGGCRTATGACAAGGTCACTTTTTAAGCCTTAGCCGCTGCTTTCACGTTTGCCCGCACAGAAAAGAGAACACGAAAAGAGCTTACCTCGGGGTCGAGTCAGATAAACAAAAGAGGTGTTATAAAACAAAAGCCGGGCTGCAACACACACACACACAAAAGTTGTGCAACTCGTCCAGCTGTGTGACTCCTCCACTTCCGGTGCAAAAAGGTGGAGCCCATTAAAAACAAAAYAAAACACTGGATTGGTTATATGAAAACTGAAAAAGGAGGCGGACTGTTACTGCCTGGGGCAACTCCAATGTCAGCCAAAGTTATGCAGCAAACACGCTGTTCCTGTTAAGTCACAGCTCCACACCCACTGAGGTGGGGGAAAAAAGTTCTCATGAAGTTCACCTGGAGGGGGGCGGAGCTTGTTTCCCTCTGAAGTTTTACCTTCTGAAGGACGGATTACTACCAGAGTACTTCAGCAAAACATTCACTATTTACAGACTTTGTTGTTTTTAAAAGTTTATTTTAGACATTTTACAGTCAAGTTCAACAAAATGATGTAATGTAATACAAAGGTGATGGTGAAGATTTTCACTGAATAACTTTAAAAGACTGAGATTGTTTTAAGACACTTAAAACCCACTGGATCTGTACAAAGCAGTATTAAATCAAATCTGAGTGGACCTGCTTTAGTGGATTATCTCTTAAAACACCTCAGCCTTCAGGCTTTTGCAACCATTATGCAAACTTTACTTAAAAATAAATATACATTTACAACCTGCAGCTAGGTAGAAATATGAAAATCCTGCTTGAAGACTTCATTTCTATTTCCTTTTAAGTCATTATCAGTCCAATCAGTCGCTTTTCCCCCTAAATGATAAAGATTAAARGGTAAAATATTAAATTGTTCATAGATTTTACACAGAACACAACATTAAAGTGACTGAAATAAGTCTTTAAAAAGTCAAATCAACAAACCAGGAAGTCAGTCAAAATTAGTGAATCATTATGTGCAGACATGAAAGGAACAAACTTAAGAGTTTAAACGTGTAAACAGAACATGTTTAAACATCTTTATTCTTGGGATTAGAATCACATGACTTTATTGCTTGAACATGTTAAAATAGAAAAGTTWAAAACCTGTACAGATGCATTTAATTTAAAACAGCGCACAAAGAAATCAAAAGAAAGGTTTGAGCTCAGGTGTGTGAGGAGGATACATCTGCATGCAATCCATGAACTTTTAGTTACAGGTTAAAAATAAGGGAAAAAAGTTTTATATATTTTCTTGCAATTTGCAAATGCATTTAGGTTTGAAACAATTTGTTATAAAATATAAATAAGAGCTAAAACGATTCAGCAAAAGTTTAAAAACATGAGTTTATAGATGTCTAAATTATATCCAATATGGTGGAAGAAGTTTTGGATAATTTTCCTTACTACTGGCAACAAGGAAACAATTTTAGATTTTTGTATCATGATCTCAGTTTTCTGAAGAGCGAAAAACTTCGATATTTATCTCGAAGGAAAAAAAATTGTTTTCTTGAGACAAATTGTTATCAAGAGAATCACACAAACAATGAAAAAGTTTAAAATAGCAGGTGCAACGATTCAGCTTCTATCTAATGTCTCACTAACAAGTTGTGAAAATAAATTAAGCTACATAAAACTACATGTAAATAATATACAGAACACAGTCCAGTCTTTACCATCCTAGGTCTCTGCTGATAAATCTAACCCACACAATCTGGTCCATCAATTTTATGGACATTAAYTGTAGAAAAATGCCAGCTTATAAAATCTAAACAAATATTTGACTCCCAGGTTTGGTGAAYAAATAAAACCCAATCAGCTTTAAATAAATCCTCTGTGACAAAAACAAAATTATCCCCACAGTGAGACCTTCCACCTAAAACGAGTGTGAAGAATGAACTCTGTTATAAAACCTGATTTTTAGCCTGAACAGTTTGTAAAACATAAAACAAACGATCACAATCAGCTTCACAGATTAAGGTTTTCAAGACGGACTAATTGATTAAGGGTTGTAAATGTCAGAAGAGAAGAACTGAAAGAAGCTTAGTGCCTGAATGTTTCCATCTATAACAGCTCTGTCCTTCAGCCAGCAGAGGGCGCTGCTGATCTAACCTCAGAGTCACCAGGAGGCTGGTCTTTATAATCCAGTGGCTTTCTGAAGATCCTCTCTGATCTCGTTCAAATCCACGATGCAGTCGTTGAGAATGTTGGCCACGTGTCGGATTTCGTTCACGATCTCCGTCTTGCAGCCTTTCTTCAGCTCGCGGGTCTCCTTGGTGAAGTATTTGTCGATGCCTTTGAAGAGGCTCTGCAGAGACGCCACGGCGCTGTCTGTGATCTGCGTGGCTTTCATCACAGGAGCGTCCACCAGGCTGATGATCTGCACAGCGTTTCGGACCTCCCAGTCCTGAGAGTAGTGCTGGGTGCCGGACCTGAGGAAGGGATGTCCGCGCAGCTTGACCAGACCGTGGTTGATGAAGTGGAGGATCTTGGCGATGTCCAGCAGGCGCTCTTCATACTCCTGCAGCAGAGCTTCAATCTGCAGGAAAACAGAGGAGGAAGTCCAGTTTTAATTAACATGGTTATAAATACAGCACTTATTTTATAAACTGATGAAACCGCACAAAAACTGCACATTAAAATGAATTCTATTTAGCCACTTATAGCTTTTTTTTTCTTTTTTAGTTATTCTGAACAAAAATTCTTCTGGTAAATTCTACTTTGTGACTCTCTCTAATTTCAGCTGTTTGTGTTTTAACTACTTTTTAGCTAATTTAAGCTTTTTAAGCTAGATTAGCATTTCTTTGTTTTTTGGCTATCATTCTAAAGTTATTCTTTTGCTAATCTAAACTTTTTTTGTACTTCTATAAGCTTCATTCTGCTAATTTCAGCTGTGTTTTAAAAACTTTTTAGCTAATTTAAGCTTTTGATAGATTTTAGCATTTCTCTGCTTTTTTAGCTATCATTCTTAATCTCTATTCTACCAAGTTAAACATTTTTGTGCTTTTCAGTTTATTTCTGCCAATTTCAAGCTTTGAGTACATTTTAGCTGATTTAAGCATTTTTAGCTAGATTTTACCATTGCTCTGCTTTTTTAGCTCTCATTCTGAACACTTATTTTTCTGATAATTTAAACMTTTGTGCTTCTTTCAGTTTCTGCTATTCAGCTGTTTTGTGTTTAGCAACTTTTTAGCTAATTTAAGTTTTTTCAGAAAATCATCTCCTTAAATCAGCAAACGTGCCCTCTTTTGTGTTAATTTCAGCTATTTTGTAAAGATATTTTTAGCAAAAAAAATTCTTTCAGCATTAAGCTTTCATTCTGTATTTTTGCAGGAAATACTAATTTTCTAGCCRTTTTTACCTTCTTGCGGTCGTTCATGTTGTTCACATTGTCAGAGATGGCTGCCGAGGCAGAGGCGATTCCACCAGCTGTGGCCACGCCCACCCCCACAGCTGTGATGACCAGAGAGGCGCCGAAGGTTAACGGTGCCAGGGCYAAGCCGGTGATGGCGGCTACGCTGCCCACCGCGGTGGTGGTGCCACCTGTGATGCCGGCGATCTTTGCCTTTTGGTGGAATTCACTGATGTCATCGGCGAGGGCGTGCAGCCTGATGAGGGCCTCCCAGAGGGCCTCGGCCTGCTCCGTGAAYACCTTGTTGAAGACACGCAGACCGCGCTCAACCTTGTAGGCCAGGATGCTGAAGGACCTGCGGACCGAAGAAAAGGGTGAGTTCTTCGGATTAGTGCTGATTAAAGCTGCGCTGGTGAAATTCAGATTTTACTCACAAGAAATAATGAATCAGTCCTGAGGGTCTTGCATTTTAAAGAGGTTCAAACTGGCTGTATAATTAAACTTCAATAAAATAAAGAAGCAGGYAGAATCTGATGAGACTTTGCTTTCAGGATGAACTGGAGAACAGTTTGTTTTCCACCAGATTAATTTGATCCAAATAATACCGATACGATCTGACATCTGTGGATTTGGTGCATCCTAATAAGTTCTCTTCAGTTGTTAAAAAAGCTGTATTTATCAAAAATAAATTTGATTTTGCATCATAGTCTGTCTAAACACCTTGAAATTGCCTCTGTCTCTTTAAGAACCTTCTACCATTTCTGACATTCCCACTTCAGCATATTTTTTAAAGGGATCCCTGATTAGTTGTAACATTAGACTTTATTTGATAAACATATATTAACTGTAGAATAAAGACTGTAAAAATGACTCAGCCTGTAACTGAAAATATAGATGGACAACAGAGCTGCTTCATGGAAGAAGAACCTCAGCTTAGCCTGTTAGCTTTAGCCTTGACGCTATCGTATTAACTCAGTGCTACACATTCTCGTGTCACTGAGGTCCTCCATCCACATGACAGAGGGAGGAACACAAAAATGACTCAGCCTGCAACTGAAAATATGGATGGAGGACCTCAGTTTAGCTTGTTAGTTTGTCACGCTAGCACCGAGCTAATGCATATAAGGCAATATAGTGTTGGCGCTAGAGCAAAGACTAACAGGTAACAGTCATTTCTACCTTCTCTCAGTCAACACTCTCTGGTTTCATTTAAAAGTGTAGTGGACACGCACATTTCCCCTCAACTCATTTTGCCACTGATTGACCTTTGACCACCTGAGGTCAAAGCCCCCTCTTCACAGACTGAACTCTTTCAGCTCTGATGCAGAGCTATGAAAAAATAAGCCTTTTCACTCTCCCTTCCCTTTCTATTGGGAAAGATTTCGTTCAAGAATTCTGTTATTTTTGCTGATAAGAACAAGTCAAAATAAACATTCTGTCTCCATTTGCTGTTCTTTTAAACGTGTAATTTGAATGCATAAACCCCTTTAAAATGTGTTTGACTTTTGTCATTAATTTCTAAGGGCTCTCTAGTTATTTTGTAGCTATGCATTTGTTGTGTTTAGAAATGATGATCTTGCATTTAACAGAATATACTTAGTCAATGCTTATACTTTTATCTTTTTACATCTGTCTTTAATAAACATTACTTAATCATTTTTAGTTTAACAATGTTTATTAGTTACTAATAGTTCGTAATTAATTATTAGTTAATTAGAATATTAGTCTAATGTTCTCTGAAGAGTTGAGTTAGTCTGCTCATAAGAGTTCGTGTGTTGTTTTGATGTTTAACCTTGGGTCCACACACAAGTCCTTGTGAGAACACTCCTTACACTGACCACCTGCAATGATAACACACACACACAAATACAATTCTTCCTGTTTTTTAAGAACTGTTGCTTCCTGTTAGTCTGTCATTCGCTCTCCCTAGCGTGGCACTGGGCGCCTACCCTGCTTTTTCTATACTAGGAAACAACTATGTTTTCCAACGTTTTTCTGCAGCATAATTTTCTCGTTTCTTACAAGGAAATACCATGTTTTTGTGTGAGGCTGTTCTGCCTGAAACCAACATCCTCCGTCCTGTGAGCTCCTCAAAGCTTCCTGGTCGACCTGTCGCTTTGCCGAAAGACCAAGTCCATGAGAAGTAACCTGTTCCACTTGTCTGACCCAGAAAGTCCCCTCACGTCTACCCTGGTCTTGTGTGGAGAGGTTCCCAGACAACGGTAATGGCTGAAAGCTGGCTCCTTTGTCCCAGGCTCATTAGGTCACACAGCAGGAGCATAACTTAACCTTAAAAGCCTTCAGAAATGTTAAAAGATCCATTTTTGCTCGTCTTCTCCTTTCGCTCGCCCACTTTCTTTCTCTCACTCCTACACACACAAACACACGCACCCACGTAACACTCACACATACATCGACCCTTTTTGTACATAAATTAATCTGCTTTTCTTAGATAAATTGTTAGACTTTGATTAAAAGTAGAAACAATGTTTTTAGTGAGAGCCCATTTTGTTGTACATTGCATGTAACCACAAATATTAATCATTTGTTAATCTTTTAATAAAAGTTAGTTAACCTTAACTGGCCAAAATAAACCTGAATGACTGTGTGTTTCTGTGTAATGTGACTGATTCATTTTTGCTTCAACAGAACCATTACCGAGCCAGGAAGGAAAACTCTTAATTGAAAATCATATTCATGATTTTTAACAGGGGGTTTTCACTACAAGAGCCAACCGTCAGATATTGTCCAAGATTAACCTTCAGAGTGGATATAGCTCGCTCACACCGAGGACCTATCCACGTCATCATTTACCCAGAATGCTTTGTGTGTCAATAAAATGACTCTGTCCATGTTAAAATATATTTTAAAAAATTACAAAACTAAACAGCCTACAGTATTTTTACAGTCTTTATTTTACAGTTAAAATATATGTTTATCAAATAAAGTCTAATGTTACAACTAATCGGGGATCCCTTTAAACAATGCTTCAGGGGCAGGGGTGATCTATGGGGGTGGGAGCTCGGCTGCAGACTGAGCTTCAGGGAGGAGCTTTGGGTTAATAGGCGGAGCTTTGTAGCAGCAAGCTGTCAAGTAATGTGGTGATGAAGATGGAAACTCCCTGTAACTTCTAGCTGGAAGATTTATGGGTTATTATGCTTATCGGTAGGGTCTGAGGCAAAGTGATATTGCTAGTGAGATTAGAACCAGCAGCATTACAAAATAAAATTAGCCGTTATGACTGTTGTAGAGCAGGCTTCCWGCCGAGGCCTTTGCTTCCTGTAGCTGAGAGGAGCAGGAGAGTGGGGAAAAAAAGCAGGTGAAAGACAGGATTAGAAAAACATTAATAAAAAATAATGATAATAAAAATAAATATACAAGAGATACACGATTGTCGGTGATTACGATGAGTGATTAATAAATCAAACGTGTTAATGATTTTGGAAGTGTTGAATCAGTAAAGTAGGTTTTAGTGGTGATTTTTGTTAAGATCTGAAGTCAGTAAAGACAGGGGGAGATCAATCCATGTCCTTACTATAATTAAAGTGAAATTAACTTTGTCCTATAAAAAAGGAACAAAGGGTTAAAAGACAAAGGGAAAGTTTTTTTATTCAAGTGTTCATGTTAAAGATTGATTTTCTTAGAATATGTTCTGATCAGCTATTGCAAAAAAGTAGAGAAAAATAGATTATAGGAGAATGGTTTGCTTTGGTTTGCATAGTTTGATCACTGACAAGAGGAAAAATTGAAGGTTAAGACAGTAATTGTTCTGACAAATAAATGAAATGAAATAATGAAATAAAATAAAAACTGATCAAAGATTAAAAGGAGAGAAAAATAAAAATAAATAAATAAATAGTATTAAGTGTTAGGAGAGAAAAAAGAAAAAAAGGAAGAAAGACGAGAGGTCTGCAGAGACATGACAGGCCAATTACATTAAACAAGGAACTAAATGAAGACAAATGATTGATCAAAAAATTCTGAAGCTCCTCCCAATCAGACTTTATATACACATGCATCTCAAGAATTGGGGTCATTTTTGTCCTCCGCTGCCTAACACTGGACCTGTCCTTAATTCCTGCTGAAGAAGGGAGATTTGGCATCAACTAAGAGCAGAAAAAGCATTTTTTTCATCACTGGAAGCTGAAGTGAAGAGGATTTTTGAAGCTGTAAGAGCTGGGAGGAAGAGACCAGATCCAACCCTGTTTGCTCTGATCAGAAGAATCCAGTACCAGCATCGTGCTTACTGACCAGAAAAGCTCACAATACAGGTATGGCTTATGATTAGTCTCTGCCCATGTTGATTTAAAATTGTATTATGGTTTTTTACGGTTTTATAATTTTTGACCATATTACCGCAACATGCTTAGGGAAAGTTAAGAGTTTAATGCATTAAATCTGTTCTGATGTGTGACTGATTTTTAATTCCTGTTGCAYTTGCTACATCGCTTATTAATAAAATACAGCAACTAGAAAATTTTAAAAGCCAGTTTGGACATTCAATTTTTGGTATTTTGTTTTCCCACAATTTTCATGCCGTCTCAAGAGTGTTAAATGGGTAATTTTCTGAGTTCTTATAATATTTTACAATTAATCAGACCGGTTGTCTTAGTGTGTAAGTAAACGTTAAAATAATACCCCTGGAGTTTACTTCCAGACTCCTAAAAATCATCCCAGTTAGTAAACAACTTAAAAATCTCAAGAGGAGTGCTGTCGTGAATCCAGGGTTTCTGGGTGGTGAGGTTCTTTGGCCAGGCTGTTCCAGTAGGAACTTTAACCCAGATGAAACCGGGATGTACCCTGGAAAAACGTAGACAGTTAGAACTGGGCAAACTCCTTATTTCTCACTTAAAACCAGATAAATGTGCTGCCGCCCCAGCTGCACAGGAAGTCTGTATCAGGCAGCAGTTTTTTCTTCTTTTTTCTCTTTCTTTCTTTTTTGAACAGTGAGAATAAGGTGCAGCTTTAGACTTGTGTGTTACAGGTAAACTGAGGACTGAGTTGACAAAGCATTTAGGCAGCTCCACATGGTTACAGGAGATTCAAGGAGTTCKCAAACATGCATGAMTGAGTCAAAGAAATCTGGGGATGTTTTTGATGACAGAATGACTTTAAAACAGTGTTTCTCAAAACTTTTTCATGCTGAGGACCACTTGTTTAAAAGACACTCACGGACCACCTAATTTGAAATTGCACCCACAACAACACAACATCAACACAACCTGAAATGAAAACAACATATTTTAACTCACTCATTGTTGTCTTCTTTTTGTGTCCTAATGAGAAGAGTGGTGCTGCTTTTTCTGTGTCATGAGTGAAGCAATGTCTGGCTCCAAACTTGAAAGTTTCAGTCTCATGTCGTAGTCGAAGCTGATCCGGTTGCGATGCTTTGTTTTCAGGCCAACAAGTGTAGAAAATCCTACAGTACTTCGTGGATGGAAATGGCATCAAGGTTTTCAGAGCAGAGTCAGCCAGCTCAGGATMCTCAGGTTGGATGTGGAGCCAAAGCTCTGTTAAACGTKTCTCTCTGAAAGTTGTTTTCAGTGTCCCGTCTGATGCRATGTCCACAAGGCTGTCCCTGTGTTGGTGAAAGCTTGGAACTGACTTGCTCAATATGCATTTTATCCCCAAATGGATTTCTGATCCACTCAAAGTTTGTGTTTAAATCTGAAAATATATTCCAAGCTGCGAGTGGAGGTTTTGCAGATGTTGGTTGAAGGATGCAACTGTGGTCCTGTCTAATTCCTCTCCAGCAACAAGGATAAAGTCTGCGAGTGTTGGAAAACTGTCAAATYCCCTGCTATCAAGATGGCTGCACCACAGTTCCATTTTGAGGCATGTGGCTTTAATTTTGTCCTGGACATTAAATACAGTAACAGCYTTCCCTTGTAGAGCCACATTCAAAGTGTTGAGAGTGCTGAAAATATCAGCTAAGTCGTCCAACTTTGCTAGCCACTGGAAATCATGCACATTGTGATACAGTTCATCAGTATGGTCCAGGAAGAGTTTGATCTCATCTCGAAGTTCAGACGGCATAGAACTTTTCCTCGTGACAACAAGCAAAGTTGTGTATGAAAAAGAAGTTGTGTGTGTTCGCTTCCCATTTCATTTTTTTCCACAACCAGCTGTTCTCTGTGGATGCAACAGTGTGTTGCAGCTGCAGATGGTGCTACTCCACAAACGCACACTACCAGTCCTTTATGTTTTCCCGTCATAGCAGTTCCACCGTCTGTGCAAACGCCAACACATCTTGACCGGTCCAGATTTTTTGTCACAAAAAACTCATTAAGTGCATGGAAAATTGCTTCTCCTGTGGTGTTGKTTGGTAGTGAATGACAGAAGAGAAACTCATGAACTTCACCGGTATAAATCTTACATAGCTCAGCAGATTTGCCTCATTYATCCAACTGTAGTGAGAAAAACTGACTTTGACGTAAACGTGMCACCAGCTGATCTTCCACACTTTCTGCCATCTCTTTTATGTGTCGCCGAACAGTGTCATTGGAGAGCGGGATTCTGTCAACTTCATCACAAGCTTTCTTACCAAGCATTTTGTTTGTCATTACCTTTGCAGCTGGTTTTATTAAAGTCTCACCTACTGAATGAGGTTTTCCTGCTTTTGCAATCAAGGATACCTGAAAAAGCCTCTGTAGCTTTTGCATTTTCCCCAGCTGCAAAAATCTCAGATGTCTCCTTCATCAAATGCTTCTTTAGTTCATCGTGTTCTCTTTCAAAAAAATCTGATAGTTTCCCCACATAGTCCTTGTGTTTAGTTTCCATGTGTCGTTTTAGTCTTGCAGCTTTTATAGCCTCATTAGCTAATATTTCATGACACACAACGCAGTGTGTTTTAGGATCCTCCTCATTTCCAGTCCAAAAAACCCAAACTGTATGTAGTCATCGTGGTATTTTTTTTTTTACCTTGGCACTGGATTTTCTGCACTCATGTTGAGTTTGCACGGGCGCCTCCTTCGAAGACATTGCTAAAGCTGAACTGCGGTCCTCCTGGGACTCCACAGTGATGCTTGTTAAGCTGACGTTGCTTGCATTAGCATCAAGTTGTTGCACTTTTCCTGTAGTGTCAGATCCTTCAGTTTTTCTTCTGAGCGACCCAGTCTTAGGCCACTGTTCCATTATAAACACATTGCGAAGCTAACTGCACGTTTCACACTTTTTTCACGTTACCGCAAATATTTTTTCGTCGTAAAATTTATGCCATCAATGTAAGACGTAATATAGGTTAAAAAAAAGGACGTAAACGTAAAGCATCAAAAAAAGTTTGATGTTCTCCATCCATCCTCTGCCTCCACTTCCTTGTAGTAGCGGTTGATTATGCTGCCACCTTAAGACTACTGCTCACTGGTCTTCTCGTAGTTTTATTATTTTCATATTTTCTTACACTGTACATTTTAATTAAACAAAACAACCACAACAAACAAGAATCGACTGACTGAGACTGAAAACACAACCGAACACACCTATGTTGTATGTAGTTACCTGCACACCACTAGGGAGCACTCACGGACCACCAGTGGTCCGGGGACCATAGTTTGAGAAAGACTGCTTTAAAACATGATAAACAAAAAAAGCTGATTTTGATGTTGAAAAAGTTCAATCAGGTTTTTTAAAAGTATGACTTTTCTCACACTCAGTGTAACGACTGGTTTAGATAAAGAAACTCACTTTGACTCGTCCTCTTTGACGGCTACATCTTCTTCATCCGATGGCAGCTCGTCCCATTCTGAAACAGCAAACAGCAGCAGGTTGACGGGAAGTCAGATAAATATTAATTTTCTTTATTTGGGGCAGAGTTTGTGACTCACGTTCCACTGTGTACCACCACTCCATCAAACTGTCCGTGTCCTGTAAAAGAAACAACAAAGCTCACACTGCAGGGCACTAAAGAGACATGTTTTATTTTTTTTCCWGCAAAACCAAAAAAGAAAGGAACTGACCCCATCTTCCTCATCATCCTCGTCCTCCAGCCTGTCCAATCCTCCGTCCTTCTGGGCAGCCATCCACTCGGCCTGATGGGAGGGAGGGAGGAGTGTGACAACATGTGACATGCTTGTTTTTACAGCTTCGTGAAAAGTCAGCAGCATTAAAGTCTCTGTTCACACAGAGCGGTACATGAATACAGTTTGTGCGTCAGCAGCGACAGAATGAAGCTCAACCAGTCAGGTCACATCAGACCTCAGCTTTAAACGGAACACACCGAACACCTTGTTATTRTTTTAATCATTAGCCAACACCAAGAAACTGCACACCCTGGATCCATCATGTCGGAGTCTGATGTAGATGAAACATAAATTCGGCCTCTCAGGTGTCAGAGTTACACTTTAATTGTGGTTGTATTGTGTTGCACATTTTTCAGTTGTGGTGGCCCTTGAGCAAAACTAAGATAAATTAGGAGTGGAAACATTTACAGCAGGAAATAGTTTATGGCTGAGGTTGAAGGGATTTGCATGAACTGTGGCAAGTTTATCTGAGGTGAGTTGCTAAAAAACTGAAGTGTGGGGACACCACACCTGCTTCACTGTCTGCCCAACAGGGACCAGAGGTGGATTCAATCAATCTGAGCCACAGCATCAGTGTGAAGGTTTCATTATTTAATTAGCTTCAATAAGTTTGTCTTTAAAAAGACTGAAACTGACCTTTGCAGCCTCAGACAGATCAGCAGCTGGACCCTCCCCCTCTCGGTGCATGGCTTTACTCTGATGAGACAGACAAACCTGAGCATCTTACAGCTGAGCGTCTGTCAGCAAGAAAAACAAAAAACAGACTCACCTTGTGCTTGAATTTTTTKGGTTTTTTCAATTTAAACGGCTTTTTCTGTTGAAAAGAATAATTCAGTTACTTTTTCGGTAACTTGTTAAAAGTTCAGAATAAACTTGACTGGCAGAGTGAGAGGAGTACCGGTTTGYAGAGGTCCTGCTCATCTTCATCGTACTCTTCAAGATATTTAGGGTCTTTCATGTCCTCAGTAGAACCTCCCTGGAAAAAAAAGGTTTTGAATGTTTGAACTGAAACCTGGATGTGTGCTGAGGTGTGACAGCTGAATCCACTCACCTCTCTCAGTTTGTTAGCAGATCTGGGTTTGCACGGTGCAGGAGCCTTTTGTTTGGAAGTTTTCTATTTATAAAAAAATAAAAACGTTCAGCTATTTTCTACTTTGAAATGATCTATTAGAATTACATGCCAAAACACATGCAAAGTCCACTCAGGAAGATCCCCTGCTGGGATTTGATCCGACAACCATCTCGCTGAGGCGACAGCAACGTCAAATTAAATATTCCTTCTGGAAGTGCTTCAGGCTGCCACAGTTAGCTGCTGCTGCCGGTATTTCACTTGCAAAAATCACTTTGCTCTTAGTCTTGCTCAGGCTAGCCGTTAGCTCATCACTAACTAAAACTAAACAATTCTGAGGTCATTCAAAGATCCATCTACAGCAGGTAAGATATTATTTGTTCATTTGTTGTTGTATTAAGGAGTTTAAACTAATCAGAAGGGTTAGGTGTTTCACAAGTGTCTCCTGATGTTTTTACAAATAAACTGCTGCTCATAAAAACTTCATGTTAGAAACGATCATTTCCAAATGTAAAAACATACCTGTTTGAGTTCTTCCATCCCATAGAAGTCCTCATCATCCAGCTCTTCTGCTGAAAAGCTGCCCTTCTTTTTCTGCATGCTGCTGTCATCCAGCATGTTCTCCTACACACACATTTAGACTCAACTCAAACTATTTGTCTCATCAGGCTTTAAATGGTACAGAAACACACACAAACCTTTGAGCTTCGATGACCAACAGAAGAAAGTTTGATCTTAGATTTTTTATGCTTTAAAAGAAAATAGAAAAGTTCCAGTAAAAAAAAAAGCTGAAACTGTTTGACGACAAATGAACAACAAACCAAAGAAAAATTACATGTTTTTTGTCTTGGATTCCGTCGACATCTTCATTCAGATTCTGGGAGTAACTGCGTGCTTTCTGCAGAGGCTCATCGTCCATAAAAGCTCCCTGAGCAACAGTTTAAAAAAAAAGTTAGTTTGTCCACAAGACATTCAATAAACTAAGATTTTCTGTTTAAAAACACAACTTCTACCTTTGTATTCAACTCAAGATTCAGACCTTCCATCTCATCTTCATCCTCAAAATCCTTATTTAAAAAAAAAGGAAAAACTTGAATAATGCTTTTAAATCCTTTTTTCCCACATTTAAACCATTCAGATGTATTTAACTGCAATCTTTGGTCTGAATTCATCTTTACTGTAACTCCACAAACCCCTCTTTCACCCTCTCTCACATTCAGGACATTTGCAGGTTAATCAGCCTCCAGTTGTTTTCCAAAGTAACACTAAGCCATCTTAAGTCAACATACAGGTCCTTCTCAAAAAATTATATTGTGATAAACTTCATTATTCTCTGTAATGCACTGATAAACATTAAACTTTCATATATTTTAGATTCATTGCACACCAACTGAAGTAGTTCAAGTCTTTTATTGTTTTAATATTGATGATTTTGGCAAAAAA